TCAGAGCTCAGTCAGTCTAAGGCTTCTTCCCACTCCCTGCTGAGCCCGTGACAGAAGTGGGCTGTTTTATGGCATTAATGGTGCAACCTGGACAAGCAACGTCATTCCAGGGCCTGATGCTGTCGAGGGACAGGGCTGAGCCAGCACAAGAGGCAGCAATTTTTGTGCTTACAGAAAACACACAGGCTTGTACCTGCCCTTCATCCCTCTCTGACAAGGAGGACACAGCAGCAGGAGACCAGGGGGCTGGGGGACCCTCCAGCTCCCACACTATGCTCCACGGCCACTCTGGTTCAACAGGGCGTCCTAAGGCAATAGCACCCCAATAAAACATCTGACTGCTGCCTTTCAATGTCCTGTGTCCTTCTGGGACCTGGCTGTCAGCACAGCCCCAGCACCCATTTGCTTATGGCCCAGGAAAGCTGCAAATCCCAGGTGGATGACAACAGCCTAGCAGGATTAAGCAAATTACACACACACACACCCCCACACACCCCCCAGCTGCTGGAGATTTTGCCAACTGAGCAGAAAATGGCAGAAAATACCAGCTTTTTACCTTGGATTTGTATTTGTAACATAAAGGATGTTTGGTGGCTCCTTTACAAGCCTAAGAGCAGGCACAGTTCTGCTGTGCTGGCTTACCCCCCGCATCCTGCTCCCTGCTGGCATTTTGGTTGTGCTCCACCAAGCCATTTGGTCTTTCCAGAGGATTTGCAGCTCTGTTCCCTCCAGAGCAGCTGTGGGCTGCTGCAAGGCAAGGGAAGCGTCCTGTGAAACAACCAGGCTGAGTTAATAAGGTCAGATGGGAGAAGGAGAGCATTAGTAGTGACTGAGAGCCTGCTATGACACTACCCTAGTAAATCCCTTGTTTGCTTGTCTCTGATGCAGGCTGCCACACTCAAATATTTCTTAGCTGTACGTCATGCTAAATCAAAGCATGAGCCACCAAGAGAGCAAGGCTTCCTCCCGGCCTCACTGCCCACCCAGCCCAGGCTGGCTGTGCCTCTCTCCCTCTCCCTGCTGCCCCTCTCAGCCCCCAGGAGCCACAGGGGGTTGCTTTCCACAGGTGCTTGCACTCCCTTTGTTCATTGCCTAGATGGACCTGCACGAGGACTATTTCTTGGTGAGTAGCAGGCTCTCCAGCCCTGCAGAAGGAAGCAAACCAGAAGGACTGGAGGCAGACACTAAGATTCAAGCTGGGAAATAAGGTGGCACAGTTAACAACAAAGGCACCTGCCTGCAACAGCTCCTTAGTGGGACATGAAGAGATGGGGATGCTGGGGGATGATGGTGAGACTGGCAAAGATTTGTATGCACAAATCCCATTGGAGCCAGAAGCTGGGGCTTGAACAGGCACCCCCAGCCTGGGCCAGGAGCTTGCACTTGAGACTGGATGCTCACAGTTTCTAGGGGCTGCACACCTTCATCTTCCCTGCCTCCCATTTCAAAGCAGCAGGAGAACAAAACCCCTTAGGGACAGGGATCTGGCCGTGTCCTGGTGGCTGTGACACAGGCTGGGTATGAAGTGTCCGGGAGGATGAGAGGTTTCCCAGCCTAGGGGCAAGACACCATCCCTGAGGGCTTGGGCTGTCAGCTGAGGAGCAGCAGTACTGGCAGACAGCTCCATATGAGCTGTTGGCTCCAGGAGGCGAAGCGTGAGGGTGAAAGACCTGAGGCTCTCACTGCAAGTGGCTGAGGGTCAGAGGAGAGGGAGCTCAACCATCAGGCATGTGTTAACTCCCACTGAGCCTGCACCACGCTGCCACACACACATGCTCACACCAACTGCTAGCAGCTCATCCTCCAGCAGGAGCTGGTGGAGGGATCCCACAGGGAACCCAAAACACTCTAGGCTGGAAATCACTACTCCCAGCAGCTCTTATTTTTAAACATAGGTTGCAGCCGTTATTTACCAGCAGGCACAATGTTGTCAGGAGCGGTGACTGCGGATGCCACGCTTGCCTTTTGCAAAGTAAACCTCCTGTTTTGACTGCAAGCTGATTGATGCTCAGTTATTTGGGGAGGAATATTTCCAGCTACACAGTGCGAGCCAGAGTTATCAGCCAATTAAGTATTTATGGCCAATTCCATTTTCCTAGCAAGATGCTTGGAAAGCAAGCACCAGTTACATCAGAGCAAAAGGTTAAACTGAGCTCTTCTATAAACACCTCCATGCTGGCGCACCAGAACCTGCACACACAGAAGTCCTGTAAAAGGTTCTCTTAAGGCTACGCTTGAAAGCACTCCATCACCAGAGAGTGTAGTTCAAACACTGCAGCAGTAACTCAGCCTGTCTTCAGTGAAGCATCACCAGAACATGAAGACAAAAGCCAAGTACTCCCAGTTCCACAAGGAGGCTTAGCTGTGATGGGGTCTTCACATAGACAGGCTGAGCTGGGAGCTGTCACCAGGTGAACATCTGGGACAGCTCTTCACTGCCCGACCCTTGTCAGGTGTACCCCACTACCACGTGCAGCATCTCTGCCAGGTACTGATTTAACACTGGTTTCCTGCTTTTCCAACACGGGCCATCACCTCTAATAGATTCCTCTCTCCCTAACATCACTTAGAAACTCTGCATCCAAACCCAAACTAAACTAACTCCCTTTAGGATGCACCAACAGGGATAACTTCTGCTGTAGCTTCTTCAAAAAAGCAGAAACCAAACCAAACCCTGCTGCCTGTCTCAGATGTTCAGACATCACCATGAGCCTTCTCCCACCACTCAACAACCAATTGCACACAATGTAACATTCAGCTTGCCCAGTGATACCCACTCTTCTCTGTTCAACCCCATCAACAATTTTAGGGCAGATCCCTGCTTTCATAAAGAAATGTACAACCAGCACGGTGGTATGGCAAAGGATAAACCTCTTAACAGCTCTTGTCTTTCCTTCAGCCTGCAGTGGGTTGTTTACAACACTCCCCAATTCCTGTAAAGTAATGCCTAACATTTACCAAGCATGCAGGAGCCCATGAATGACACGCACTCCTTGAGTCATCTTCCACCTGCCACAGCATCTGCCAGAGACCAACCAGTCACTTGGCTACTGGTTGTCGCACAATTCCCAGGGCAGCCATTCCCACTTCTGCAGCATCCCCGACTCCTGACACAGGGCGAAGCCCTGGTGACTGAGGGGGCCACTGCAGCCTTTAAAACTGCTGGGCTGTGATGGCAGGTGAGAGAAGTCAGCCTGAACAAATGCCACGGTAAGGTGACAAACACCTATTTGTTCATAGATTATATCCCATTAAGTGTGACTGTGGTCACTCAGTTCACTTTCCTGCTCTCACTGCAGCTGGTGTTAATGCAGGGGTATTTTCTTAGGCTTTCAAGTGATATTTATCATACAGCATCTCCCACCAGTACTGGAGAGACAGCTGATGCCTGGCCAAGCTCATGAAGGCTGGAAAGCATCTGTATTTCAGGTGTATTAATATGCCTCCAAAGCCAAAAGTTGTGTGACCAGTCACCGAGGCATGACCACATGACATGACCCCGTGTGTCCAATTCCTGTGATATTAAAAAGACAGCCTTCACAGGAAAACCACCCTCCAAAATCTGATGCATGAGAGCGCCAAGCCCTTATAATACCTCCTGCTTTGTACTCTCTGTGCTGGTGCTTCAAAGAGGGGCAAAGGAAAGAGGAGGTTAAAGGTATTGGTTTTAAAACCACTGCCAGCTCAAAATGCCCCACTGACCTTCAACAGGGACTGCAGAGTAGCTGCTCTGGTTTAAGCTAATTGGTACGTGAAACAAAAGGCAGTGGAAAATTGGTGTCAGAAAATAAAAACTGTACTTGCCTATGCTCTTAGTGCGAGGTGTCCACAGCACACAACAGGAGCAGAGCCCCACAGCTGGAAAGGTGATCTTTTAACCTGCCTCAGCTGCAGCCCCTCTCGATGTAGAAGCCAGAACAAGCAGCTCCAGCTCCCACTGGCTATCCTGACAGCTTCAGTGGCTATGTCAGTTCAGCAGCTTATGCCTTCTGTGAGTCACTGTAGGCACTTCTATACATCACACACACACATACACAGACATACTGAGCACTGCCATTCCTGACGTTCCACCAGAGAGAAAAACACTTCTTCAGGATCAAGCAGGGTAAAGGCACTGCTAGTTGTGGTCTCTGATGAGGTAGAGTCCTTGGATGAACACACTGCACAAAGTGCACAATGACAAGAGTTGATAATCCGAAGTAAGTCATTCTAGAAATGACTACTGTCAGTTCAAGGGGACAGCAGCATAATACATCGTGGCATTCGGCATTAAGCCAACCCTGATAAGCCACAGCAAGGCATGAGCTAGACCTGCACTTGAATCTGAGTGTTCTTGCCATGCTCAAGAATATCTGCACACTCTCCTCTGCTGAAAATCTCAGGAGAACAAAGGGTCTTCTGAGGGCAATGTTTTTAAACTGAAATGTGATGCAGTATGAAAATTTCCTTCTATAAAAGCTAAAGGAGGATATGAAATTCTCAAAGAGAGATAGACTGGTGCTGCCACTCTTGTTAGTTCTAGGATATACTGTTTCTCTCCCATTCATGAATAATTTTCTGTGAAACCTGTGTCTGAGTAAGTCCTCTTGTACATTAAATGTCAGCAGCCCTGGATCCAACACCTGCCCAAAATTGTACCAGCCTGAACAGTTCTGAGCTTGGTACCCTTCACCTACAGAGATGGTCTGGAAAGCAGAGTGGTGTGCGTTGGCTTTTTAAGGCCATTGATATTCTTCCAGGAGCAGCAGCTGGGTCTGGAAGCATCTGAAATTTCCTTAAAGAGATCTGAGCCTTGTCCACCCACCCCACCTGCACATGGTCTCCCCATGGAGCAGCAACAGTACTGATGCCTGGAAGTAGGTCCTTAAAGGTGCTTACCTTTGCCTGCTGAGAGCCAAGAGCAACTGGCAATCAGTGACACCCCTGAGCTGGGGTAGTAGACAGAAACCCAGATGGAGGAGAGCCCATTGCTCACAGCAATTCACAAATGAAAAGCAAACTGGGTTTTTTAAAATATATTTATTCCTGAAAGTGTACAACCAGAATATAACAATATTCCTTGGTGAAAGCAAAATAGAAAACGGTAGGGAATGAAGGTCAAGGGAAAAACATTTGCATGTTCCAAGAGAAGAAGTCTCCAGAGACAGAACTTGGAGACTCCTCAAGCTTGGAAGTTAAGGTCATATTTCTATACCACAGAAATTTCCTATAGCAGATCCATAACTTATGTATCTCATTGTGACTCATAACTTGATGGAATGGGTTTCTAGTTTGTTCTCTTTGAGAACCCAATTATTTCAAGTGCATCACACCAGTAAATGAAATTGGTGCACTGCTTTATTTATTATTAGGCATTTGTTTTTCTTTATCATGACTGCATTATAGCTGCCACAAATACTCAAACCAGCTGAATTGAAACAGCATATTTTCTTGAATATTTCCAATCCCTCTAAGCCTTGGTACTTTACATGTTCTCCAATACTTGGATTTTTCTGACTAATGAACTCTTCTATTTGCTGGAAAATATTGAATGCAATTAGTACTTCAGTGCACAGCCTCAATGTATGCTGTGCCTAGCAGCTGAGCACTGTAAAAGAGCACAGTGCTTGGCAGAAGAATCCCAAAGATAAAAGGGAGATTTATGCACACTCCCACCAAGGCCTAATGCAGAATTTAATTGGCAAGGTTGGCAATAAAGGGGCTGCAGAGAGAGCCACAAAGGTTATGGCCCCAGTGCAAGTCACAAAGCAATAACAAGTTATGATTCCCAGGCTAAAAGATCAGAACTTACATTTGGTTCCTCACCTCGCGCTCCCCCACGCCAGGCTGCACAACGTGTTCTCATCATGTCAGCCTATTCCTTTGCTCTTCTCAGACCAGCTTTATCTCCTCAAGGGGAGATACAAATCACTCCATCCAACCCTTCTGCAATTGCATCCAGCCTGTGCCGGCACTCCTCCCGCAGCTGCTCCAGCTCTCTCTGCAGGCTGGCCTCTCTCATCCGCAGTTCTCTGATCACCTCTGTAGCACTGACAGCTGAAACAGGCTCCTTGGATACACACTGGCCAAAGCCCATTTTGCTGGCAGGATGTTCGCTCCTCAACACCAGCCTGTACAAACCGTGCATTTTATATTTTTTTGGAGCACAAAGGCGTGTAAGATCTAGCAGTTTTAGTTCAACTCTTTCCTGTATCTTTCTAGCAGTGGCAGAGAATCCCTCCTTCTGTAGTTCTTCCTCTCTTGCCTTCACCTGTAGAGAGAAGAAAAAAAAACAGGAGGGGAAGAGTATGGTACATTTCTGTGAAAAGAAATCCTCCCATCAGGAAACAACACAAAATGTCGTGTTTGGACTAGGATGTACCAAAAAGAAGAGCCAACTGTGAGTACAAACTAAAGCGTGTGGCAGTGAAAACTGAATTAAGATAACGTGCTTTCTATCAGGCAGCAGCCTCAGTAACCAAAAAGCTGTCTGTAGTCATTTGTTTGCAGATTCACAGTCCACCAGCCTCTCCACTGATGACTAATACACAAGGGCTCTGCATGCTTCCCTCTTACTGAGGAGTGGGTGGTTTGGCTTCAGAGCAAAACACACGGAGCAAAAAGGGGGACCCAGCAGAGCAACCTTCATCACTGTTGTGCTTTAAGCCACCAGGCTGTCATAACAGATTAATTACCTTGTGAATAACAGCATTATTTCAGTTTGCAAATGCTTTCTGCATTTGGCAATGCTAAAAAGTAGGGATGACAGCTGTAAGTTAGCAATTCCTTCATTCTCAATTCCCATTATGGAGTAACAATTAGGAAAAGGAAAATAAAGGACCAGAGACAAAGAAGTAGAGGCCAAGACAAAAATGAGTACCAGGCAGCACACTTTCAGTGAAGACAGACCCCAATAAAACAAAAGCTTTTCTTTGATAGAATCACTTTTATCTGGATGATAAAAGCCATAGTATATACTGGGATTTCTCCAAAGCATTTGACTTAATGTTCTCTAACAATTTGAGCTGAAGAACTTGCAAGATGGTAATTGCCTTGCCAATTTTACTAGTGGATTAAATATGAATTCAGTGACTCATCTCAAAATGCACTTGTCAGTGGGGAAACATCACTAAGAAGAGGCACCCTACTCAGGCCTTCAGAGAAATGGTTCTTGGTCCAATGGGATTTTCTGTTTCTGCTACGGCAACAAGCTGCCAAATCAGTTCAGCCAAAAAGCAGCAAAGTTTCAGAAAAGAGATGCTGCCTCTGCAACCTGCACAAATCCCAGAGCTCTCCTGAGACTTGTGTGCAGTTCTGGAGTTCATGCTTCAAAAAACCACAGGGAGACAGAGAGTATGATTCAAAGGCAGGTCACCCAATGATCCACAGCTCAGTAAACAAGCTTTAAGAGTATGAAACTTCAAGAGTTCAAAATATCCCATTTATGGAGACAGATATATAATTAGTTTTAGTTCCTAAAAAATAGTGGAAAAGAAGGTGGTGAGAGATCAGACTGCTGACAAAGCCATAAGAAGATCAAATGGATGAAAATTCAAGTTAGATATTCAGCTTCAGAGTAAGACATTGTTTCCTACTGTGAGGATAATGAACCATGAAATGCTTCACTGCAGCTCCAGGGATGAATCCTTTGGCCAAAGCTCAGCTCAGGTCAAGCTCAGTGCTAATGATACCCCTTCCAGCCTTGAAACTGCTCTGCAACCCCTCCCATTCCTGGCCGCGGGTGAAGCTGAACAACTCCTTGGGGTTTTAAATCTGCAGATCTGCATTAAGATATCGGCACCTCACGCATTAGGGCTTTGACAAGTTCCCTGTAAAGTCAGAGATATTTTGGCAGCTCTCTGAAGCACCAGAGATCAAGCAGAGCTCAAAGCAGCCACAGCTGCAAGGACAAGAGTCCTAAGGTAGAAAAGCCCCTTCGCCTTTGCCACCATCAAGCTACAGCTGCTCAGAGTCAAACCAGCTGCTGTATCTGGAGAAAAAGCGCTTTTTTCCATAGATCAGTGGGGAAGGTTTTACTACTGACACAAGTTCAGAAGCTTATGAAATACAGGGGATCAGTCTACATTCTCTAACAGGTGCAAAGTGCAGGTGCAAGGGCTGCAGTCACAGTCAAATTTCCCCACTGACACCAACTTCATCAGGGCTTCACTCACTCATCCCACATCTTCCTTCAGAGTATCTTCATGAGTTTTGCAGCCAAGTAATTAATCCTCTCCATAGTCTTCTGATGAGTTATTGTCACCCCTCAGCCTCCGCTTAAAAAAGATTAAGAAAATCAATCAAATCAGAGAGGGAGTAAATTTCTCTGAATTTTTGCTAACACATTAAAGGCTTTATTGATGCAGAACCATCTGTTAAAGGAGACCTCTGTTGATTAAGGCATTTAAATAGAGAATTGAAGCTGAGAGAAGTCTATCTTTGTCCAAGAACCAGGGGTCCCTCTTTATCATAATCCCCAAGGAATCCCAGGACATCTCTTGCTGTTGGCTAAAAGAGTATCTGAGGTCCAATTCTCTGACGCCGCTTTAGAAGGAACAAAACCGAAAAAATAAATTCAAGTGTTGTCTAGTCTCCCCACAGCCAATGAATAAATGGAAAATTATGTTTGCACAAAGTGGATTTAACGCTGGAATCCAGGATGGGAAAAATTTCCAGTTACTTACAAATAACAACATCACTCAGCAAACAGAGCCCACAAAATGTTATTTATTTCTCGCATTAAACTCAAGCAGAAACAAAGTAGGGCTGTATAAAAGCATTCTTAATGAAACATAGGTTTTCATGCTTTCCACTGGTCAAAATTGGAGAATTTTAATATCATACACGAGGCACATGATGGAGGGGCAGCATGCTCCTCTCAGCACTAAGTGCATTGAGTTCTAACTCACAGCAATAATAGGGATAAGAATTACTGTACAGAAGCAGGAGCAGCTGTAAGGACAGGAAAAACAGCCTTACAGTCAGGAAAGTGTAATAAATTCCTACATCCGAGGATCAGAAGGGTGTTGCACATACTATCTTCTATAAAGAGGATCAGGATTTCCTGGGATAACATTAGATAAATTTAAGAGAGAAAATTTTCAAATTAATATGAAATAAGAGAACAAGTTCAGCAAAGTACTATTTATTTCCTATCAGCACAATCTGGAGTTGGAAAGCTACCTCCACTTCTTTCCTACACTGTTCTTCCTGGAAGGCTCTGCAGCCATATGTATGGCCACAAATATATTCTTGTTGCAGTTTATAGATTTCAATTGCTAAAAATCTCTGAGGGTTACCTTCATGCAATATCCTTTACTCTTCACATCCTGAATGCTTGTGAAAATACTCAATAATCTCCTCCTGTATGGTTAATTGATGCTCTCTAACAGCATGCTGTCTCCCATTAGTCAGCACACAATGATTATTCTCCTCTGCAAAACAATCTCAATAGACCACTTTGTATTAAACAAACATATTGTAAAAGATTAGGAGCCTCAGCATTTTGTGCCTGCCCATTTCTATCCCACAGCTCTGCCTTTCAGTCTCAATCTACCAGCCGGAATTTGAATTCCCAATTAGGTGCGTAGTGCTGTCTGACAAGTGCTGCACATCCTCTCCAAATAAATACAACAACATGATAATCATCGTTTCCACTTCTACAGAATCAGCCTCATCCCAAAGGGAGCTGGTGCACTTTGAGAAAATCCCCTCCAAATGTAGAGGGAATCAACTGATGAAGAATCAGCATCTTCAAAATGACACATATCCCGCTCTGCAGCGGGTACTGACCCGGTTAGTTGTTCACAGCAGAGCAGCCACTCACAGACACTGAGTCCATGGCAGCGTGCTGTCTCTCTTTGCACTCCAGCATCAACATATTCTACCAGATTTCACTCTCCCAAGACCATGATAAGCGAGCAGGAACTTCCCATGGCACACAGGCATCCTCACCAGCTCTACAAGGGTTGTAGATGGAGAGATGCCATGAGTGCACACTGAGGCAAATACTCCTGGCTGGGTTCCTTCCAGCTCTTCACATCACCCTGTCACCAACCGCTGTTTGGGACAGGACAGTGGCCAAACTGCCCCAAGTGCTCGTAAATGTTTTCCTTTCAATAACTTCAGTCTTCAAAAGGTATTAGAAACTAAAAGCTAATGGGAAAACTATAATAACTTCCATGTTCTAAGGAGAAGCCAACAAGCTAGTGGAGTTGCAGGTAGCAGGATTGCTTCTTAGATCAGACTGAAAAGGGACCAAAGTTACAGACAGCCTGTGCTGCCCTTCCCAACCAAACCTGGCACAGTGCAAGGGGTTGCAGTATGCACATGCACAGATAATGCTAGCAGATTCTCCTACAGGAATATGCAAAGGAATAAGCACCATAATAAAACAGATCTCTTCAACATTAGCTGGAGGGTGGGCAGCTGCCTTCTCATTCCTGACAGAGAGAGATCAAGCCAGGCAAGAGTGTGGAAAGGATTTACCATCTCCCCAGGACATCATCATGACAGATGCTGCATTTCCAAAAACATTCAGGCTGACATCTGATTGAGGAAAATGGCCAAGCCAAAACAGAAAAGGATGGGCCCAGCAGAATTGGAAAGGGGAACTTCCAAAGGTGAGGCACATCCAAAAAACAAGCTGAGCAGGCAGCTTGGCTCAATCCCCACCACAGTGAATTAACTTTTGCACCAATGCACATAAGGGACTTCAAGCCTGCAAACACTAACATGATGAATTTCCCCATCACTTCATCATCCCTACCTTCTCTGAAATGACTTCTAACCAAAGATATCACTGGCTGTCCTTTTCATCCAGACAGCTATCCCAGCTATTTTCAGTCCTGGGAATCCTCTGGCTTTGCATAAATCTTACAACAATGAGTTCAGTGGGCAAATCACGGAAAAGGTAACATGTCACACATTTTAAGTGAGCTGCCTTCCAGTTTCTTTGCATGTTCTTTGTTTTGAGGCCAGAACAGTAATATCCAGATTCACCTCCCCTGGACACGTGATAATTTGTCATGTGGACTGCCCCGGTCTTTCCACTGCCCATCTTGTGAAGCTCCACTTCCATCAGTGGCTTAAGATGCTCTACACATCTAGCTCACTTGATCTCTCCTCAAAGAGAAGAACTTCCATCCCCTCAGCTCCCTCACATTTGCCTGCACCTTTCTGGTCATGAGCTTCCCAGAGCTTTGTGTTTCATTCTGTAGCACTCAGAAACATCCCAGAGGGCCTGATCTCTCTCACAGTATTAATAACCCA